GAAATGAGACTTTGACACCATACAAACATCAACTTCCTTACCATCTTTCATCTAAATATTATTATCCATTAGTGACTCTTACCTGAATCAGTTATCTTATTGGGGGTGGCAACGTGATCATAAAATGGGATTTAAAGAAGAGTGCTGATCAAATACACATAACATTAAAATTTAACATCTTAACCATTTTTAAGGGTACAGTGACATTGTTGTGCATCTAATCTCTAGAACTTTTAATTTTGTAAGACTGAAACTCTGTACCCTAAATTGGGATTTTTTAAGTTTTATCATTCCTTCAACTTTATAAGCTTGCAATTTTCTATGCAAAATAGCTTTCCTTCTTTGATGCAGGCTATTTGATTACTGTGAAATACTATTTTTATTTGAAGTGCAGGATAAAATTTTTTCCTTTTACCACATTTCAGAATAAGCCATTAGTGTAAGAGTTAGTTCGTGTTTTTTGTCTTTCTCTTTTTTGAGTGTCATTATTGGTTTGTGGATTTTTATATATTTATTGTATTTCAATCAAGTACAGTCAATTCAGTCATTCTTTTAATGTTCATATTGTCCCAGCTTTGGTCAATGGGAGCCCCTTCGAGTTGCCGCCTAAGTCCATTTGACTTGATCCTATCAGACTCTGAAAGTAAGGAATATGTTTCTTTAAAGGTGGTAAAATTTCCTTTGGGGAGCAGGGTCAAATCTTTATTAGCCGTAACACAAATTACAGAAAAGTGCCATAGAGCAGTGTAACACCTTGCTACCAAAGCCTTAATTCATCAACAGATAGGAAAGCAGGGTGAAGTTAGTGATCTTGAAGTCTTTTGTCATTTTATGTTCTGTGATTTTTTTTTTCTTACCATCTATACAATTGTCTTACTATTTGGTATTCATTGGAGCAAATATTTCTTAAGTTTATTTAAGTTATCTCTACACCTAGAATAGGGCTCAAAGTCATAACTGTGAGATCAAGAGTCGCATTCTCTTCTGACTGAGCCAGCCAGATGCCCAGAACAAAATATTTTAAGAGTGAATGTTGTCAGATTTTGTGTTGAACATCTTCATTACTTTCTTCTTAATCTGATGGTCAGCTTCCTGGGCCATGGGATAAAGGACTGTGAGTTTGGAAAAGCAAGGGTTTCAACATAATTCATATTTCTAAAGTCCATCCTCAGGAAGCTGCGAAAGGGTTTGAATCCTAACCTTTGCCATTTATCCCAACGTTATGCCCCTCAACATTCCACATGGAGAAGGTCAGCCTCATAATGTTGGATCAGTGAGCTGCTCTCTGTTTCCTGCAGACACCTTTACTTCCTCTGATTTGGGTAAACAGATGAAGTTTCATCAGGAGTTTAAATGTGTAACTGAATTTGTGAAGATCTGTTTTGAACATCGTAAGACTTACATCATGTTTCTAAACCTCTGGGAAGTTACTGTCCGACATTTTAAAAAACATGTTGTTTATCTAAATTGGCTTTTTCCCTTACACAGTTTTATGTGGAGAATGGTTATCCCATAAGCAATCATTCTTTTCAGTTTAGTAGGTTTTTCTTTTCCAGAATAAATGTGGCTCAGTTTTATTGTTATGTCCTCAGTAGTCACTATCTTGCCTCTTTTGTTAAGTATTAAATACAGATTGCCAGTTTTTAAATAACTTTGAACATTTACTGAATGTTGGGCAAAAGTACAAATAATACAGCTGCATACTATACTAATAAAAACAAAATACTGTGTCTTCAAAAACCATTTCTTCTCTGAGAATAGAAAGAAGTACTATGGAATTCTGTATTTATTCATCATTGAGCTAAGTTTTGGAGTAAATAAGAGATTATACTGTGTTTTAGTTAGAAGTATTCCTTTTCAGTGTTAGACATGGTTGGTTTGTAAGATAACCTCATAAGATCATTTTTATATCTATAAGAAGACCGTCAGTTTTTGTTTTTGTTTTAACAAAAGCCAATACTTTAAACAATATGTGAACTTGCTTTAACTGCAAAAACTATGAATATCGTCATATGTAGTAAATAAAGTTCATTCTGTCAATTTTCCAGATGGTGACACCAACTGGAAGAATTTAATTTATTTCTTTCCCATTCATGATATTAATGAATTGTGAATTAGTGCAATTGAAATCTGTCCTGGATTGTTTATATAACACCATACAGGCTTGGTGTCTCTTGTGGGAGAAATACCAGACTGTGTATTTAGAGAGGTACTTATTTTCTCCATCACTGTAACAAAGGATTTGAGGTGTCATATAGGGAATATATATGGTAAAATTGCTTATGTAAAGACAAATGGAGGTCAGGTAAATTCGAAATAAAAAGAAAATAACAAAATGAAAATCTACCCTCAATATACCTTTGATTCCTGAACATAGGTAACTGTAGTCTGTCATACATTTTTATTGATATTTGTTTTTGTGTGTCTTTGTGTATATATTTGTGTATGTTTTATTTTTACACAAATATTTTTAAGGAAATAGAATGCTTGATAAAGCCATTGCTCTTCTCTGAAATGTCCATTGGAAATGATTAAAGGGTTGTCTGTGTGGCTTAGTCAGTTAAGCATCCAACTCTTGATTTCAGCTCAGGTCATGATCTCAGGGTTGTGAGATCAAGCCCCTTGTTGGCTCTATGTCTAGCATGGAAGTCGACTTGTCCCTCTCCCTCCGCTTTCCACCCTGCTTGCACGCGCTCTTTCTCTCAAATAAATAAATAAATAAATAAATCTATCTTTTAAAAAAATTATTGAAGATTTTTTTCTGTGATTAAGATCCTCAGATGTTTTGGCCTTTTCAAGATAAGTGACATTTTTGAAGAAAAGAAATTATGGTAATTAATAGTTGAGCCTGATATTTTAAAAAAATGATAAGCCTTTTGTTAAGTATTAAAAGTATTAAAAGTTAAAAAAAAGTATGCTTAAGAGCCACTTCTTTTAAACCTTGGTCCCCGTAAAAAGCACAGCTCACATGTCAGCTTTTCTGTGAAGTCGTCTCTGATTTCTACAAGTAGAGTTAATGTACCTCTTTCCTGTGTCTACCAAGAAATGTGGTGGCACTTACCAGGTTGGATTTTAAAATCCTGAAAAGATTGGTTTTTCTTACTGTTTAAATTTGTGTATTCTTACTGTGTATTGTTTGTCTTTTCCCAGTGACTGATGTAGATAAAGCAAGCCACATATAGATACTTGTGGGGTAAATGAAAACCAGTCAACGAAATGGAAGTTTTAATAGAGTCAGACCATTAAAATATTTTGCTTGTTTTGAAGTAAGTGAATAAATTGACTCACTTTGATCATCTTTTTTTTTGTTTGTTTTTTGTTTTTTTATCATCTTTTTATTGTATAAAAATCTCTAAAGTACTGAGAGTTCTGTGAATTGACTTAATAATTGGTATTTGAAACCGATTCTTGACATGGAGAAGAATGAGATGACCAGCTGACAACAAGTGGTTTTCTACCCAACACTGACAGCCTTACTTCCTTCCTGGCCCTCAGTGGGAAAACTGACCTCCTTATAGTCTGAGGATAAGTCAAATCCTGCCAGTTGAACCCGAGAATCCTATTCCCATCGCTTTTGGCCTACCTAGACATGTTCTGTTAAGTAGTTGTTGACTGTTCCTGTCTTCTTTCTCTGCCTAGAGACAATGATTCTCAACCCTGGTTGTACATTAAAATCATCCAGGGACCTTTGGGGAAAAAAAGCTCAAGTCCCAATACAGATTAGTTGTATCAGAATCTTAGCATCCTAGAATTTTAGAATTGGAAGAAATGTAAGTTTGATTCTGTAAGGAAACCTAGAGGATTTAAGGGGCTTTTCTAAAAGCAAATTAATTAATCTAAAGACTTGGGGCAAGAATTTGGGGATTTGTAAATCTTCTCCGTGGCTAGCTCCCATTCATTTCCTTCCATCACCCCAGAATTCCATCCATTCAGTCTCCTGTTTGTCACCCCCTTAATCTTCATATCTCAGTTTATTCTGCTCCCTATGCTGTTTTATCACATCCTTTTCCTGTTGGTTAGATGCTCTTCTTTTAGTAAGCCACTTTCCTGCTCGGGAACCTCTAGTAGCTCCCTTGTATTGGAAGGGGAGTCAGAATTAGCAGTCTCATCCCCTGGCCCCCCCCCCCCCCCCGTTTGGATGCTATGCTCTAACAAGAAGATTCTTCCCTGTCTTTTGTACAGTTATATATCTTTCTGAATTTTCATAAGCCATGCCATAAACTGTATCTAGGATTCCTTCCTTCTACTCTGCCTACCAGGCTCTTACACCAAATCACAGAATATTGGCTCTAGAAGATTTTAGCAGTCACTTAATTCAGCCGTTTCAAGTTATGAATGAAGAAACCGAGACCCTAAATGTTAGATATTTCCCCCACTGCCCAGGCCACAAAACAAATTAGCTAGCTTTGGACCAAGGTTATAAAACTCAGATCTCTTTGTTCACTTTTCGCAAGACCTTTTCTCTCAAGATGCAACTTGGACTCGAGCATCTCTCCCGGACTTGCTTGTTCCCCTCAGCAAGAGAGTCTGTCCTGGGCTCCACACTTTGGTGCCATTTATTGCACTGGGGCAGCGTTGGTGTCTCTGTTGTAATAATAATGAACAAGGGTATTGCTGACTTTTGAGAGCTTGCTTTGCAGTAGTCACTGTGTTAATAAACACGTTGCTTGTTTCATTTTTACCCCATAGTCACACTATGGGGAGGTATTGTCTTCATTATCCATGGTAACTGAGGTGTAGAGAGCTAAAGTCTTAAAAGGTCAAGGCTTAGGTTTTAACTCAGTTTGGTCTGATGCCAAGGCCAAGCTCATCTACATTGTTGGAAGTTTTTGTTTTGTTTTGTTTTTAAATGTGGAAACATCTTTTATTTTCCACTGGATTATAAGGCTCTTGATAATAGTGAGCAGGTCACTAATGTCTTTGTATCCCTGATAGCATCTATCACAGAAGAGCTCAGTAAATATTTGGTGACTGCGTTTGGGAGAACCATCACATGATGACCACATTTCGAAGATCAAGGCATTGGTGTTCAGTGGGGAAGCAGAAGGTGGTATGTGAAGTTTTTCTCAAATTTTTAGGCACTAGATCTTAGAAAGGGGACAAAAGTATGTGATTGAACTTTCTGTGGAATGCTGTGGGCAGGAGAGTTCCATAACGTTCCTTGTTTAGTGGCCATAATGAGATCTTATGCATTTATTTACCTGTAAGAGTTTACGATAGCATTTTAGTTGCTCGTTGTCTTTTCTGGCTTTGCTCATTGCTGTATTGTGTGTTGCCGTCTTTAAATAGTCCTGAATCTCTCTCTAAACTAGAAGATTAGCAAGTAACTTCCCATAGAAGATTGGTCTTTTTACCCAAGTGAGCTCTTGGATGCTTTTCTCAGATAGAATCTTGGATTTTGTCATCTTAACTGAGAGCTTCTGAGCTGGTGGGATGCTTAAGCTGTGTGGGTACATTTGATTATGGATGTGGGTGATGCCAGTGATTGTCCCTTTGTAGTCAGGCATTGAGGTGTGAAGATTCTTTTGTCCCTTCTACCTGTTAGCAAAGTGAAACCCTTAAGCTGTTTAAGTATATTGATTTTCCATTTTTCTAGGATTTGAATTTAGTCTTTGTTCTTTTTGAAATCCCCTCAATAGGCTATCGTGCCAACTTGTTCTTTAGTGACGAGGAGTATGAGAATGAGCCCTCCCCAACTCTCCCCCAAGGGAGGTAGATTTAAGAATTATAGGGTGCTCTTTAAAATCCAACTTTCAGGACATTTGAATCAGCTTTTTAAAAATGGGTACTATCTATATCTTGAGAGGGAGGATGAGTAATGTCAAACTAATATAGAAAAGCTTTGGTTTAGGAGAAAGAGACCTGAATTGTTCATTATTTTTGACTGATGAAGTACAAATCTGAAAATACTCTGTAGAGTGGAAGGTGCTATTATTTTATCATTAACTGATTTTAGGGTCATGGAAAGGTAACTCGGAGCTTCATTTTCTACATTTCTCACTTCTCATGAGTTAGATTCTATGATCTCTCTCTACCCCCCAGTTATGTTGGTCTTAGATATCAGATTCATAGTTTGTTTCTGGCCGATCTGAAACCGTAAGTAATATTCTCATTTGCTTGGGGAAAACAGGTCTCTGGTGTCAGTTGGCAACAGTATTAAACCTGATTTATGTTAGAAGCTGCCATGCTGACTTTATGGTTCCCTGTATTCATTCATTAGGGGATGTTTTAATACTTAGTACTTTCTTTGCTTATGTCTTCAGTTTTTGGCAACTAGAGGTTTAGCCCTTGAGTTTTATTTTTATTGTGGTAAAATATCCATGGAATAAATTAAAAATATATAGGACTTAAGCTTTTCACCATTTTGTGGTATACGGTTTAGTGAAATTAAGTGCATTCACAGTGTTGTGCAGCTGTCACTACTGTGTATTTCCAGTCTTTCTCATCATCCCAAACATAGGCTGTGTACCCCTTAAACAGTAACAACTCCTTTGTTCCTCCTCTCCAGCCCCAGGTAACCTTTATTCTGCTCTGTCTCTGAAGTTGCCTATTCTAAGTACTTCATGTGAGAGGAATCATGTAATATTTGTCTTTTGTGTGTGGCTTATTTCACTAAGCATAGTGTTTTTCAAGTTTCATCCGTGTTATAACAAGTGACAATTTCATTCCTTTTTAAGACTGCATAAAATTCCATGGTAAAACAACATTTTGTTTACCCGCTCACCTATTGATGGACATTTGTGTATCTACCTCTTGGTTATTGAGAGTAATATATATTGCTATGAATATTGATGTATAAGTGTTTGTTTCGTTCCTCCTTTGAGTTTTTTTTTAGGTGTACACCTAGGAGAGGAATTTCTGGGTATACAGTAATTCTTGAAGTTTTGAGGAATTTCTGGGTCATATAGTAATTCTTAAATTTTTGAGGATCCCTCGAACTGTCTTCCATAGTGACTGTATCGTATTAAATTCCCAACAGCAATTTACAAGGGTTCTAATGGTGCCACATCTTTGCCTACACTTAATTTCCTTTAAAAAAAATTATAATAGCCACCCTAATGGGTGTGAAGATGGTTTTGATTTGCATTTCCCTAATGTTAAGCATCTTTTCATGTGCTTATTGGCTATTTGTATATCCCCCTTGGGAGAAATGTCTATTTAAGACCTTTCCTTTTTTTTTTTTTTTTTACTTTGGTTGTTTTTTTGTTGTTGAGTTCTTAGCCCCTGATTTTTAAAGGTAATGTGAATAAGGAGGTACCATTATAAGGTAAGTAAACTTACCTCAACATTGGTGTGTATATATAAGGTTGTTTGTAACCTTACAGTTGTTATTTTGCAGGGCTGATGGATAAGAAAACATCTTCTTTCCTATTGTTTCTCATTAAATATAAATTCTCTGTGATTTGAGACATTAAGTAGTGTAGTAAATAGAACATAGGTTTTAAAGTTCAAGACCTGAGTCCTTGCCTTGGGCTGGTAAACCTGGCCACTGGGCTTAACCTGTAATATTCTGAGGTGAGGTCATTGGTTCTTGAGATTAAAGTATGAATCTGAAAATACTCTGTAGAGTGGAAAGTGCCATTTATTATTTTTTACTTTAGTCCATTGAGATACTGTGACCTGTGCAAGCCAGTCTTTGATTTGTGAAGAAAAAATAAGGTTTATATAAGCAACTTTGTTCAAAGGGACCAAAACTGTTACTTCATTTATTCCCCTTCCGTTCTCAGGAGCTGCAAAGTGATAGGAGATAAATGCCACTGTATTTATGGATGAAAGAAAATGAAGGAAGGATGAAGCCATTGTTCTGTTCCACAGCTTTCTGAAGTACTCTGCTAAACTTTTTTTTTTTTTTTTAAAGATTTTGTTTATTTTAGAGCATGCATGAATCGGGGGAGGGGCAGAGAAGTAGGGGCACAAGGGGAGGGAGTCACTGAGCAGGGAGCTAGAGGGAAACAAGTACATGGGTTTCCATCTCATGACCCTGAGATCATGACCTGAGCTGAAATCAAGAGGTGGATGCTTAAGGGACTTCCCCATGCAGGCGCCCCTCTGCTAAATGCTTTTCAACCCTGACATCACTGTGCTGTGCTAAGGCTATTACCTTTTCTGTGATTTTTGTTATGATAATGTATAGGAAACTATTTGATATATAAACTTGGTCAAGGGTTTTTCTGGTAAGCATTTCTTTGAGTGGTTTTCCCATCAGAGGTGTTTTTAGGGACATCTTTCTCAGAATTGAAGCCCTTTCAAGATTTGCAATGGAGTTGAAATAGGCCTGTTTCCTCTTCCCCCTTACACATCCCTTTGGAGTAAGTGTCCTTTGTCGTATGTGCTGATGCTCTCTTCCTCAAGAAATCACATCATGGCATTTAAATGTATCTTCTACCAATGTGAATATTTGAATAGAATTTTCTCTGATTTTCATTCGTATACTTATATTAAGTACCGCCTTCCGCTGGAGGAATGCTGAAATGGAAGACATTGTAGAGCCTCATAGTCAAAATCCTGGAGAAGACACTCATAACTTCCATGGTTCATTTTAGAGAATTTAGTCACTCATAGGTTAGGTTATTTATTTACTGTTTTGGTTATAAGTGTTTATAATTCTACTGTATTTTCAGTTAGCATGTTCATAAATTATTTTCCTTTTTGGTGTCAATTCATGTAATGGAAGAATTGAATGAGGAAATCAGGAAGTTTTGAAGTGTTAACACTGGCTAAGAATTGGATTTAATTTGTAATTAGTAAAATTTCCAGTTAATTAAGTCAGCTGATACAAATACTTAGAATTTGGCATGTGTCCTTCAATCTGATTATTGGCACAAACCTGTTCAACTTACTCTATGTACATCTGATTATTTCAGGAGCGATTTTGGGTACCTAATCAGTCTTTTCTATGGCATTTTTTTGTTCTTGTCCATTGCTGTTACTTACATAGCTCACTTTCTTATGCCTGTTTGCTTAATATTAGTATGTTTTCTCATTCTTAACTGGTTGCTTACTTTTCTACCCATTAGTCTAAATGGACATTTGGGGAAATCTCCTTTTTTTTTTTTTAATACTTCATTTTGAAGTAATCTCTATACCCAACATGGGGCTTGAACTCCCACCCTGAGATCAAGAGCCACATACTTCACTGACTGAGCCAACCAGGCACCCTCGGTAAAAATCTGTTCTTTAAGTTAAGTACTTCATTAGAGATGCCTACTAGGTATTTAGCCTTGTGCTACCTTTTAATATTCCCTTCCTTCCTTCCTTCCTTCCTTCCTTCGTCAGAGAGAGAGAGAGAGAGAGAGAGCACAAGCAAGGGGAGTGGCAAGCAGAGGGAGAAGCAGGCTCCTTGCTGAGCAAGGAGCTTGATGTGGAACTTGATCCCAGGACTCTGAGATCATGACCTGAGCTGAAGGCAGATGCTTAACTGACTGAGCCACCCAGGTGTCCCTCTCTACCATTCTTTATAAACTTCTGAATTAGAGCCTTGGGCACCTCTAGGTGAAGGTTGTCATTTAATTTATTAGCAGCTGTTGCTGTCTACATGTAATTATATTTGACTGCAAGTGCATTTTTACAAGATGAGTCTGGTGGAGTCATTATATAAATGATTCAGATTAAGGAAATTATTTAATACTGAGGTAAGTGCTTGAGAAATTGCCGATTTAGAAATACAGTGCATTTTAAAAGAGGTACTATTTGAGGATCTAAAATATAAAAGGGAGGCTGCATATTTTACTTTGACCTTATTACCATTGAAAGGAAAAGCTTACATAAAAATGACTTGTCAGTAACTTTCTGCTTTCTGAAGATAGATGGTTATCCAAGTAAGTTCTGGCTACTAGGCAACGGAGAAATTCTTTCGTAGAAGTCTGCTGGTGTAGCTTTGGCGATTTTAGGGAGCACCTGCTGCGATAGTGGCTTATAAATGCTTTAAAACCAAGGGTCGGAAAGGCGACGGTGAGAACGGGGGTTCACAGGACAGGGAGGGTCAGCAGGCGCCGCCATGCTGTGGGAGGCTGCACTGCCCAGTGGAAGGCCGCGGGCCCACACTCGCCC